CGAGATGTAGAAAGACAACCTCCTTCCCTAGTGGAGAACAAGCGGGCCCTTGTCAGGCGCCAGTCATTTCTGATGAGATTAATTTCTTGGCTACCACAACCTCATCTGTCACTGTCTGGGGTTAGAATGGAGATAACCAACAAAAGAATGCTTCGAGTGAAGGCGACACTTATCTTGAAATCGGGAGTATTGGTGCTGGAGTTGTGGCTGTGGCAGAGTGCATTTCTGGGAGACGAACCCTAGGCTTCCTGGGTTCCCATAGTAAAACTGGTGATACACTCCCAGGAAAAGGGATATCAGGCTGATGGCACCGGGCGCTTGCTGAGAAGGTTCTGGAGTCTGCCAGCCCACGAACCGCTGTGGTCCCCTGCCATGGTGGATTGTTTGCTGGGAGTCCAGCACCTACCAAACAGAACGTGTGCCGTGTTCAGCCCTCTCCTGGCTTCCCACACACAAACCCTAAATTTGCAGAAATGATTCCTTTCCCTAGACTCCCATATCTCGGTGACACAGTGACCAAAGATTTGTCCCTGTGAATTTGGACTTGGGTCAGCGTGTGGTGTACGTTTTAATTCATTTATCCCTTCCACAGATACTACAACGTGCCAGGTACTGTGCTGGGTACTTTGGTTCAATACGAAGATTCCTTAATTTTTGTACTTCAAGTTTTCATTGGTTAATAATTATAAAATAGCACCAGTTATGGAGCACTTGGCTAATTTTTCTCAGAAAAGTACCTTACATGTAAATTATCCCTTTTGTTTTTTTTTTTATAACAATCCAGTAGGTTGGTACGGTAGTTATTCACCCTGTAAAGCTGAGGAAACCAAGGTTCAGAGAAGTTGCATAACGGGTCCGAGTCATGCTGGTGCTAAGTAGCAGCCAGGCTCTGAAGCGAGTCACTAACACACCTGCCGCCTCCCTGCCCTGTTGGCACCTTCCCGCCGGCGTGAACCACCCATGGGACATGCGTGACTCTAGGACTGTATGAAATGCACACAACTACCGGTGATTCAGACCCGCCCGCACCAAGACATACGAAGTATGGCCCCGTCGTAAACATGTTAGGGTGACTCTCCTGAAAGGCGTCTGTGTGTTTCACTTAGACCCAGTGTGGCCGTCACCTGGCGTGAGCAGTCCTGTCCTCGGAAGTGACTCCCTGGGTCCCTCTTACTAGGACAGAACTCCCGGGACTTGTAGAGCCAGAGAAACTCGGGTCTGAACTAAGGACCCTCCCAGCCGCTGTTTCCTTGAGAAAGTAGCTAGCTTCTCTGCTTTCTTCATTTCAGTAATAGCAAACACAGTGGGCCAGACACTATTCAAAGTACACCACGTCAGTTCTATGACATCCGCATGGTCACTTCGTACCTGTGGAAACCGAGGCCCGGAATCAGTTAGGCCCCTCCTGGGAACTCGGGCAAAATGAGGCTCTGGACTCAGGCAGCCTCACCCTAGAGTCCATGCTGCCTCTGAAAGACAGGAACAAAGTGGAGGAACCCCTCTGGCGCAGAGTTGGGGAGGCTATTCCAAAGTTGAGAAGGTGTAACATTTCTGACCACCCATCCGAAGAGAAACACCGATTTGTGGAGAAGGTTTTCTGGTTTTGATATCTAAACCTTATACCTAAACCTCTGTCTCTACTTCTGAACTTGCAGGAACCACTGGCTGAGCTTTCCTAATCGTGGGGATCCCTTTAGACAGGGGTCTGTCGATGTGCACCGCTCACCTTCCCTGCACCTGCCAGGACACGGAGGCGGGCGGGACAGGTGGTGGGCAGTGGCACAGGTCTCCCCTCCCCCACTGCCCCCGCCAGCGACTTCCATCTTTCCTGTTGACGGTGATTACAACATTTCGGCCTCGGTTTCTTACTGGAGAAATCTCAGTTCACTTGGGTTGTCTCCTTGATCCAGCTCACCTAGAGCAGTTTATTCCTGGCAGTGTGTTTGGAGTGGAAAACACACGCTTAAGGCTTCACATATTCAAGTGGATAAGATCAAGGCGCCCCGTTAGCTCTGGAGCCAGGCCGCCTCGGTTTGAGTTCCAGTCTTGTGTCTTCAGCATGTTCAGTCTGAGCCTGTGTGTCTGTGAAATGGGGTACAACTGAGGATTAGAGGAGGTACGCGTGGAAAGCCCAAGGAGAACAGGGCCTGGCCCATACGCGACACTCAGAGCTGTGGGCAGGTGGCATTAAGCCCCTCCGGCCCCGGGCCCTGTCTTTCCCACCCAGCCTAGGCTCCTGCTCTGGGAAGACCTTGCCTTGCTGTCTGCCAGCCTCTGGGCCATCCTCTCCTTGGTCACCAGCTTACTGTGACCCCGAGCTTCCGGGTCCCGCCTATGAACTGGGCCTGGGCACAACGGAGTCCACTCCCTCAGGGTGCCGTGAAGGTTAAGTGCGCTAATTCAAGTGCTGAGCACAGAGCCCAAAGATCGTTCACTCTCATCACTGTTACTCCTGGAGCACAAAAGGCTGCTGAGAAGAGCCTTTGAAATCCCAGAGGGCCCGAGAGCTAAGAGCCCAACTGCACGGCGGTGGCTGGGCCGGGAGCTGGGAGCCGGGAGCCAGGAGCCAGGCAGGGGTGGCAGAGTGTCGGGAAGGAATCTGTGCAGCCCGATGGCTTCCAGACAGCACTGACAGCGCTTCTGCATTCAAACACAGCCAGAAACACCTCTCTGAGCGGGCGCCTGTCCTCTCCCATGTTTGTCCCCAGGATCAAAAAACAAAGCAACTAAGACAGCTCCCGTGGGTGTCACTGCATTCTAGATAGCTGCTGGGTGCTTTCTAGACAGCATCTACGCTTGCGTTGGAGCATAGTTCGAGCATAGACAGCAAGTCTTACCTTCCCTGCACGTCAGCTGCTGCGACCCAGCAATGGCGCCACTTGCCCGAAGCACTCTGGAAATGGCACAGGCCACACTGTTAGCCCAGCCTGTGGGGCAGAAAGGGCAAGGCTCCATTGCTCATCCGAGCTGGGAACCCGTCTTACCACCTGCCCGTCTCCCAGTCCCGAGGGCCAGGAGCGGCTCTCCCTGGAGATCAGCTGCTCTTGATATTATCTGGCCATTACTACAATGGAATTAGAACTGCTTTCTCTCTCATACACAATTAGAAGTCATTTATTTACTTGCGATATCGTGAACCTCTTTACGTGACTACCTTCCTCGCTTAACATTTGGGAGTCAAGTTCCGGAAGTGGGGGGCAGGATATATTCTGTTTTTAGTATTTCTGAGAGCCTTTTGTTGCCTGAGATACAAAGGGATTTTTGTGAATCATTCTTCTGCCCTTGAGAAGTAAGTATTTGAAGTACATGAGTTAGAATAATATCAAGATGCTAACGAGGGCCCTGGCCTGCGGCATCTGTATCTTTGTCTTTATTAGTTGTGAGGGTGAATGTCCGTGGATTTTCTCCCTTCTCTCACCTCTGCTGTTCCTCACCCGGACGTGTGAGTCCCTGAGTGGCTTCTCCTCCCTCTCTTGAAGATCAAGACCTCCTGCCAGGCCATGCCCCATGCCCGGGGTCAGCAAGGGAGGAGAGGAAAGTGAACAGCTCGCTGCGGCCAAGACAAAGGCCGCAAAAGCCACCCTGATCCTTTGACCTCCATTGACGCCGAATCTGTTCTTTGGTGTCCCTGACTTTGGCCATGTGGTTAGTTTAACTCTCTGCCCCCACCTTGAATCGAGCTTTGATGAAAAAGCGGTAGGAACTCAGGCCTGCCCCTGGAGATTTGGGGTTTTTGTCTTGGAAAAGCATGAACCAGAGGAGCGGGGCAGGAGCTCTGGATTCCTGTGGCTTGGGCTAACTTTGGCTGTAGATACCAAGTGCCTGTGATCGTCATCATCTTCCTCCCCAGATGTGGCCGTGCCCTGTGTGTCACCTTCCCTCGCCCCTCCTCCCCTCGAGGAGGCTCCAGGGCCACAGCTCCTGCCCGCCCATCAGCTGCCCTTCCAGGTTTGAAATGGTGCGTGGGAATGCTTACAGACTGCAGCTGCCAGCTGATCCAAAATCTTTTGGCTTTAGGACAAGCAATAAAAAACAACTCTTAAGCACCAGCGTATTTTCTATCCCTTGGGATCCCAATAAACCTCTGAGATTTGCCTCTTTGGCAAATCCGGACCACAGGGCCTCCTGGCCGCTCTCTCCCAAGCAGCACCTCGGGCTATCAGGAGTGATTTGGTGGCCCGGACTGTGTATGTTGGACCTCTGTCCTGGCTTCCTGGAATAGGGTGGCCAGAGCCCTGTGCGGGCGTCCGAGGAGCCAGCCGCTGCAGTGCTGGGTGACAGTGACGCGGTCTGTGGTCGGTGCGCTGCTGTCCGCCTCTCCACGCACCCAAGCCTGTTTGCCTTGGTTCGGCCTCTGGACAGCCTGTGCATGGGCCCTGGCCGTGTGGGGGTGAGCGTTACCGTGCCAGAGGCTTCCGCACATTCACCCAGCTCTCAAATGACTCATTCCTCCAGATGTTTCTATCCCAGGAAGCCAAGTCAGAGGCCCGTGAAGGCCCCTCTCCGGTGTCCTGTCTTACCTCAGTGTTTCTCGGCCCTTTGGTCAAAGTGTCATAACTGGGGACCTCCACCCAGGAAAGGCTTTGCAGGAATATTGATATTAAAATCTCACCCCAGAAGTTAGTGGCTCCAAGGGCCGAGGATACAGCTCAGCAGCACCGCGCTGAGGCAAGCAGAAAGTTGTAAGTTCGATTCCCAGTACAAAAAAAAAATGTTAGTGGCTCCACACCCCTAACATGGACACACTTTGAAAGAGCAGCTCAGCTGGGCATGGTGGCACAGGTCTAATCCCAGCCCTCAGGATGCCGAGGCAGGAAGATCACAAGTACAAGCTCTCAGGCTAGGCAACTTGGTGACTTAGCAAGAGCCTATCTCAAAATAAAAATAAATAAGTAATAGAGCAGCTTTCCCCAGGCTGCGTCTGAAGACATGAAACAACAAGAGCGAGAACAGCGACAGGAATTAGAGACCTAACGTGCTCCTCTGTGTTTTCGCCCTAGACCTGCTGACCATGAGGGAGTACCACTGCCTGCTGCAGCTGCTGTGCCCCGACTTCCCGCTGGAGCTCACCCAGAAAGCAGCCAGGTACGGCTCCCCAACTGCCGGGCCAGCCCAGCCCTCGGCCTTCTGCCGGCCAAAACACTCACTGTGGGAGAAATTGGTACCGGAGAGGGTTCTGTTGGGGTCTCTGACATAACGGCGTTTCATAAGGGAGCGGAGCGAACCTTCACAGTCTCCGTGGGAGCCTTGAGGTCTGAAGATAGGGGAGGAGGGCTGTGAGGCGAGGGGGTCCGCGCACACGCCCGCGTGCACACACAGACACGCGCGAGGACACCCTGAGAAAGGGACAGGAGTGGGCAGTGACGTGATGACGACAGCTGAGGTTGGGGGCTGGCAAGGCAGGAAGGGGGTAAAACGGCAAACCAGGAGGGCAGATGTGTCATGTGCGCTACAAGGAGGCTCTCAGGGGGAGTCCAGACCAGGAGCTCGCAGGCGCAGTTAAGAGCCCCTCATTTCTGTGATTGATTCACTGTCCTTCTCGTTTTTAACCAAATGAAGTAGTGGAACGGTACCTCAGTTCACTTTTGGGATGGGGGGTACTAGGAATTGAGCCCAAGGAGCGCTGAGCTACATCCCCAGCCCTTTTTTGGTTTAGTTTTGTTTTTAAAGATACAGTCTCACTAAATTGCCCAGGCTGGCCTCAAATTCCCTATCCTCCCACCTCAGCCTCCTGATTAGCTAGAATTATAGGCCTGTACATTCAACACAAAACCTGAGCTTGGGTTGCAAATGGAAATATGTCGGATTAATAATCCATTTCTGTCCAGGGTGAACAGGTCCCGAGAATGAGGTACCTGCAGATGAATAGAAAAGTAAGAGGAGAAAGAAATACAAGAGAGGCAAAATTCTGGGGTCAGGGGGCTAGCAGCCTCTAAGACTGAAGCTGGGATTACCATTTTCAGTAACCTTTTATTGAGAAAGAACAAAGGAGGCAGCAGAGGAATGGGAGGATAGCAACTGTTTTAGCAAGGATAATATAATTCAATTATCGTAGGAATGAGACTAGTTAGCCATCATGTTATCATTCCTCTGGGCATATCTCAGCAAAGCATTTAATGTTGGCCCCATGGCTTTTTAACAAGGACACAGGTACTGCAATCTTGTCCTTTCCACCAATCTTGCATTTTCTAGCAAAATGCTTTTGCTAGACTTCCTCTGGAACGCAACAATCATGGCTTGGTCAGGCCCAAGGCAATACACTGAAAGAGTAACTAAAGAATGTCCTTCTCCACAGAACTATGGAGAAAAAAAAATCTTCCTGAAAAAAAAAATCTTCTTAAAAGAGTAGAGGTCCATTTGGCTCACTGTTTGGGGGAATTCAGCTGGTCAGCTGGCTCCAAGGCAGGAATATCATGGCGGAAGGGCCTGGTGGAGCAGAGCAGCTCAATTCATGATGGCCAGGAAGCTGAGTGTGGGACAGCACCAGAGAAGAGGGGGTTGAGGACCTAGACCTAGAGCCCAAGGCCACATTCCATGACCTAGGCAGACACACCCAGCAGCTTACCCCACCAGTTCTGGGTAGATCCCAAGCCGATGCAGTTGACACCCCACCCTAACTGCCACACCCACGTCCTCTAAATCACACTGAAATCATTTACTGTACCTTCACAGTTCCATGTGAAGGTTTATCTGACCTAATCCTCATTTTTGAAAGTTACTTCTCACTTTACTGAGGCTCCGAGAGGTCAACGATGTTGTGGGGGCTTACCGAGAGCTTGCAGCAGCAGAGCCAGAGAGCACTCCGGTCTCTGTGGGCTCCTGCCTGTGTCCTGGCATCATTACTGCTTGGCAGCGTGACCCCCTGAAACCAGAGATGTATCAGCTGTGCTGCTCCTAGAATCCCCTTGTGCCCCTCAACGTGCCACTGCCCCCAGCCAACTTGGAAGAAGAAAAGTTCATCGCCTCCAGGCACAACGCAGCCTCTCCCTGGGCGGGATGCTGGTGCTCTGCAGTCCTGAACTCATTTTGGTCGAGTCCAAAACCTGTTCGGTGATTGCACACCCGGCATTTTGTAGGACTTTTCCCCTTATGTTCAGGGGATCTTACATTTCCCAATAGAGGCTGGTCACCCTGAAACCGTAGTTCAGCTTTAATCAGTTTGATTTTTCTGCAATCCAAAACTTTAGATTTTATTTCTCTTAGCTTGAAAAATAAAAACAGCATGAGAGGTTATTTCTTGCAATTTAAAAGAGCCTAGTGGAGTTAGCATTAAATTGTTTTTCATCGGGCTTAGATCATTTTAAGAAAAATTCAAACCAGGCATGTTGGTGTGCACACTATAATCCCAGCACTGGAGAAGCTGAAGCAGGAGGATCGCTGGGAGTGTGAGGCTAGCGTGGGCTACATGGTGAGTTCAAGGCCCGCCTGCACTACATGGGGAGACTCTGTCCAAAAAAAAAAGACTGGACTTAGCGAATATAAGTATGACTGGAGAATCCCTAAACAAACACTGGGAGCCGTGGGAATGCGTGTGCTCCAGGTAAACAGGCCAGACCTGTCCCAGGCTTGTTACTGCTGAATCACTGTCACTTAGCATAGTACCTAGGTGTGAGCTGGACCCTTCACACCCATCTGCTGAGTGGGTGAGTGAATGAATGAATGAATGAGTGCACACGTGGGTAAACATGTGAATGAACATCCTTGGCTGGTATTTTACACAGCCCCAGTCGTCTGCAGCTCCCAGTAACTATAACAACCAGGACCCACAATTGTAGTTCTATTCAGATTTCATTCATGTATTCACCAAATATTTATTTTTAACAGTTTTGGAGGGATATCATTTGCATACCTTATGTTTCACCCACTTACAATATAAAATTCAGTGGCTTTTAGTATGTTTCTAAAGTTGTGGATGTATTACCCAATCAATTTAGGCACACTATCATTAGTTTGAAAAGAAACCCCAGCCAGGCATGATGGCTCATGCCTGTAATCCCAGCACTCAGGAGGCTGAGGCAGGAGGATTGTTGAGAGTTCGAAGCCAGCCTGGGCTACATAGTAAGACCCTGTCTCAAAGAAAAGAAAAGAAAAGGAAAGAAAAGAGAAGAGAAGAGAAGAGAAGAAGAGAAGAGAAGAGAAGAAGAGAAGAGAAGAGGAGAAGAGAAGAGAAGAGAAGAGAAGAGAAGAGAAGAGAAGAGAAGAGAAGAGAAGAGAAGAAAAGAAACCATGCAGCCTCAGCCATTCCATCCCAATCCCCCTTCATCCACACACCTAGCAACCGCTGCTTTCTGCCTCTCAATTGGCCTGTTCTGGGCTTTTCAGGTCAGTGGCATCATGTAAAAATGTGGTCCTTTACGACTGCTTCTTTCGCTTAGCGTGAAGTTTGCATGTTCACCCTTATAGTAGCATGAATCATCACTTCTCCAGATATTTCTTGAGTGTCGATTTCTCGGGAGGAATTATTCTGCACGCTGGAGACCCACTCACGACTGAGAGCTCCCATCCCTCCTGGAACAGCATCTAATTGAAAAGGGACTCACTTGATACCTGTCACTGCCACCTCCACCCTCTCGTGGGACTGTGTCTTGGTTTCTGTCCCCCAGAGTAGCTGCTGGCCCCCTTTCCTGGTAGCTGCGCGGGCGCCCTCCTCCCCAGCCATTCCGGATGCGCCAACGGGTGCGAGCACAGAGAACGGAATCCAAGTGCTCCCCGCTCAGAACTAGGTGGGGTGCGAGTGCGCAGGCCTCACCGTCATCAGTGCAAGGCTTCTCGCCCGGCCCAGCCATGTTCCTCTCCCTGAGGGGGGCAGCACCTTGGCCAGCTATGTTGACCGTGGTGCGAGGGGACTGCGGGGTGCAGGCACAGCCCACAGGGCCTGGCTGGGCCACCTGAGATGATTTGGAAGGCGGCGAGTTTATTAGGTCAACCCTGCTTCCCCTGGGCCATTCTCTCCTCCACGCCAGCCTGTACAGAAAACTTGTAGCCATCCCAGAAAGCGCCCTGATGTGGAGCGCTGTCATTTTGTCCTGCAGGGCGGATCCCAGTTTCCCCTACGCGTGCCCAGGCATTGGCCAGACAGCTGTGGGTCCGTTCCCCAACCCCCGGCTCCCTCCTGCAGGGCAGCCTGGCGTCCTCCTGGGGCTGCTGTGTGTGAGGAGGAATGTGGTCCCAGGCCAGCAGTTGGGAAGCAGAGCCTGGGTAGGGCGTGCTGGGCAGGGCTGGCGTCTGCGCCATCGGTCCACCAGGCCGGGGCAGCAGGCGTGCTCCAGAAAGGCAGGAAAGCGGGGAGCAAGCAGACCCCAGGCAGCAGCCCCAAGACCCCCTCTGCTCATGCTCTCCTGCAGCAGCACTACACAAAGACCAGTGGCACAGGCCTGTGGTCCCAGCACTCTGGGAGGCTGAGGCAGGAAGATCAAATGTTAGAGACCTGCCTGGGTAATGTAGCCACTTAGCAAGACCGAGTCTCAAAAATTTAAAAAAAAAAAAAAAAGGGCTGTGGGTGTGCTCAGTGCAGTCTCTTGGTTCAACCCTAATGCCAGAAAAAAGGCACGTGAAGGGAGCCAGACTTGCTGGGTTTAAACCCTGGTCCCAAATGAATAGCTTGTGCCCGTGAAAAGTTAGTTGATTTCTTTGTGGCTCACAGGTCCTCATCTGTAGAGTGGGGATAATAACAGATGGAAGGATGGATGGAGAAGTATGTGACAGGGGGCTGGGGATTTAGCTCAGTGGCAAAGCGCCTGCCTGGCAAGCTCAAGGTCGTGAGTTCAATTCCTGGTACCGGAAGAAAACCAAAAAAAAAAAAAGAGAAGTATGTGATAGGCTTCAAATAGTGCTTGGTGCAGAGTAAACTCCCAGACCACCTTAGACGTGGTGGTAGCGGCCTTGGAATACAGGCGCTCGGGCCGAGGCCTCAGGCAGCCTGCGGCACCTCCCACCTGCACCCTTTACCCGCAAGGCCTGCTGGTCTCTCCCAACTTCTCAGAGCTGTCTACCAGTCTGTAAAGTGGGGGGAACAGTAACGAGCCATGGGTGTTTGCAAGATTTCAACAACAACAATATGTGCATGGCTTAGCACATTGCAAACA